CCTTGCGTGTTACCTTCACTACCACTTGTAATTTTCTTTCCCCAAATTTCAAATGTATAATTTCAAAACATACCACCACTGTAACAGCGTTGGGGGTTTTTTTATTAAAAAAAAAAAAAAAGTTTAAAGGTCGCTTATGACCCCATTTAAGATGTCGTTCGGCAAGCGTCCTCGCTAAATTGCCCCCGATTTTCTATGTTACGACCCTTTGAGCGGCAGTGAAGGCAGCAAACACTGTTCGTTATGTCATTTATCAATCATGGCTGCACCCGTCGCTCTTATTCAAGGTGCGAGCAGAGGACTGGGCTTTGGATTCTGCAAATATATACTTAAAAATAAATCACTCGCTACTGTTGTAGCAACATGTCGAAACCCGGACGGGGCTGCAGAATTGCGGAGCCTGGCCGGCCAACACCCGGGCCGACTGATGGTCCTCAGACTGGACGTGAACCACGAGGAGGACATCCGCGGAGCTGCAGAGAGGGTTAAGGAGAGCTTCGGTCGGCTGGATCTAGTCGTCAACTCCTCGGCAATGCTTCACCCTTCGGGGAAAGGAGAGACAAGCTTGAGGGATGTTTCTGCACAGGTAGACCTTTGTTTTAGTGTGAGAAGCCACATTTCCGTAAAAACTGGAGTAAAAGTTAGTTTAACTCACTGTCGTGAGTCAAACTGTTGCCTGTGTAGAAAATACATGCACAGAACTAGTGCAAAAAACTTGGTGAGACACCATCATCATAGAGGCATTTGATTTCCCCCTATAGTGGTACATACATTGGACTTTTTCTCTGGTGGTCCTTAAACTGTGCTGGTGATGTCTGTGTCCATCAAGAGAGTCTGAAATCGGCAACACCAAATTCATTAAATCCTTAACCTAAATAAGTAACTTTTTTCCCCCCATTTTCAGGGTATCATTTCCACCTTAACGACCAATACAGTGGGTCCCCTGGTCATGGCCAAGTATTTCTCCCCCCTCCTTCTTAAGGGCAGTGGTGGATTTGGTCAGCAGCCTGCAGAGAAAGCCAAACAGCACAGCGGGATCATTGTTAACATCACAGCGAAAGTGGGATCAATTGGAGACAATGGTATCTGGTGGTTCCAAAACACTTTGTGCATACATGTCATGTAGGCAGTGGCAGTTCCAGACCAGATTTACCGGTGGGACCAGTGTTTTGTTTTTTAATCGGGGCACAGAACAAAAAAAAAAAAGATTTTTTAAATGTATTAAGCACATACTGTACAGGATTGACGGTCTCTGTTTCTGATCCCTCGTTCTTTGCATCCTCTCCAGCTAACTCCTCTGTCTCTCTTTCATCCCCTCATGATCTTCATCCTCTCTCTCTACACTGTTCTTTGTTAACAGGGGCAAAACCCACCAGCTAAACGGCTCCAAATTTAAAAGAGCAAGCGTGCAGCACCCTAAACAGTCCATGTTGAACACCTCAGCAATTTAGTTCCAGTTACCATGCCACTGCATATCACCATAAGAAATCAATTAATTATTATCTCTTGAGCACAGAGACCAGAGCAAGTTCTACGGGGGCTCTGGCCCCTGTTGGCCACTGTCTAAAACCACCTATGCATGTAGGCAGCACCACTTATCTCACTTAGCTGAAGGACAGAGCATGGTTACAAAGCAGATATTTCTCTTTTATTATAATGTGCATGCATGCACAGTGGTAAAATGTTCATCTCTAACACTTTTTTCTCAGGTCTTGGAGGTTGGTACAGCTACAGAATGTCTAAAGCAGCTCTTAACATGGCCACTAGGAATTTGTCTATAGAGCTGGGCCGCAGTCGACCCAAGGTAAGTGTTTTCATACATGCGGCATTAATGTCTTGATGCATGCTCAATCATCCAAAAAGTTGATTCTATTCATCTGGTTGTCAAAGGAGCTTGCAAAGAAAAGTGGACAGTTGGTGTCGTAAACCACCGCCTCTGTTCAAAGATGGTCGCTCACAGTGGACATAGATGGCTTCTTTCACTCCTCTTTCAAGCCATCTATGTCCACTGTGAGCGACCATCTTTGAACAGAGGCGGTGGTTTACGACACCAACTGTCTGTCATCTATAATCCAGTTTTGAGTTCCCTCCCCAGACGCCTTAACGCCCACTCACATCCTGGGCCATCTGACCTCAGGAATTCGCATGATAAAGTGGGGCCAGGTTTCACAATGAGCTCACCCAAAACCCTGGCTGATTGGGACCCACACCCAGTTTCACACCTTGGCTCAGGCGATTAGAGGATCATAAGGGGGTCCTTTTGTCCCTCTGTGGGGGGATACTCCCACTAGGTTTAAATCTGGGACTCCCCACCATTTGACCTTAGAACTGAAGAAGCTTCTCGGATGGAGGTGAAACGTCTTCAAGCAACTTAAAGAAGTCCAGACGCTTTTCTTTGCAAGCTCCTTTGACTACGATGATCTGGATGACTGAGAACCTTCACAGACATATTCATCTGGTTGTTTGTTTGGTTGGTGTTTTCAGTGGGAGAAACATTTCGTCATTCGTCCAAGTGACTTCCACCCTTATGTGTCGGGAGTATCAGAACAGCTGAGACGCATTTTCTCTTAAGACTGGGTCTCTGTTGGTTTCAAACCCCAAGACACACTGTGCCAAAAATTGGTCCACCCCAAAGATCTGGTCCGCTGGCACAAATAGAGTAATATAGTGTACGCTGTTAAGTGCCAGGAGGATTGCCTGGATTTATACATCGGGGAAACCAAACAACCTCTGGCTAAACGGATCGCACAGCACACAAGAGCTAACTTGTCAGGCCAGGACTCTGCAGTCTGTTCACACCTACAGGCTGTGAGATACTCTTTCAATGATGAGGATGTACACATCCTGGACAGGGAGGAACTCTGGTTTGAGCAGGGAGTCAAAGATTTACGTGAAAAGGGAAAAAACATCTCTGAGCCTAAGGTCTAAGATGCTTGTTACTGGTGTTTGTATCTTTCTTTTAGAGCATGGATTACAGCATGCCCTTGTACATAGATCCCATAGCCCATAATGATGTATTGGTTTTTTCCAGGTTGTTTGTGTGTCCCTACATCCAGGAACAGTGAACACAGACCTCTCCAGGCCTTATCACCGGAATGTGCCACAAGACAAGCTGTTCAGCGCTGAACACTCTGTGAACTGTCTAATGAGCATCGTTGACACACTAAATATAGAAAAGACTGGAAAAGCGTACAGCTGGGATGGAACCGAACTACCGTGGTAGAATTTCTAACAGAGGAATTTCACCACTTCTGGTCTTAATGGTGAATTTCTGAGCAGCGTTGAGACAATGTGGAGATGAGCTGGACTTCATGCTATTGCCGTACAAGACATTCGTGCTCAAGTGACAGTTCAGATGGTCAATGAAAAACCTCTTTTACTACCTCATAATTATCCAAAGTGCTTAAATCATCTGTAGCACATACAGCTTTTGTGTGAAGCCATTATTGACAATGTATCTGGTTTCGATATTTCATACAACTCTCATGTAGTTTAGCACTGCTCATTTTGATGGTAAAAATCATGAAATACCTCACTAATCTTGACGTCCTTCCCCAATTCAGTAATATCATCAGGTGGTTTGTATTAAAGGTGTATAAATTATCTGACTGTTTAAAATTTGTAGTTGCATTACACACACAGGCAGTCATTTTAGAAACAAGTGCTGTGGACATGCAGTATGTTTTAAGAAAAAAAGATTGCATGGGTGGAGTTATTCTGCTAGTACATTTTACATGCAAATGTTGCACAAAGACTAACTCCTAAAGATAAAATAATACAATCCTTTAGATAGGATCTGTAAGATTTTTTTCATCCACATTAAGTCTGAAACTGATTGTGATAAAAGTTAATCCCTAAGAATCTGACTCTTTATGAGATATAAAGATGAAGCTATTTGGCAACTGGAAAAACACTGGACTGCAGCAGTCATGGCTCAGTCTGTTGCAATCTTCCACCAGAGGTGTAGTCACAAAACAATTATTGCTTTCACCACCTCATATATTCAGAAAAAGTTAATTTAATATGTAATAATAATAATGGATTGCATTTATATAGCGCTTTTCTAGGCAAGTGCTTTACAATTCCACTATTCATTCACTCTCACACACTGGTGGAGGCAAGCTACAGTTGTAGCCACAGCTGCCCTGGGGCAGACTGACAGAACATTCTGGTTACAGATGAGCTTCCCAATCCCCTGAGCCACGGTCACCCCCGTAATCATAAGAAAATAAATACAACTCCAATAATGTAAATAGATTACTGCATTTGTAGGCTTTTGGTTTTGTAAGTTGCTTTTTAAAACATGATTTACACTTTAAATAAAAGATTTCACTACATATAAGATAATATTCATAGTTACACGGTTACTTCTATGACTTGGTGGGTCAGTTTTACTGTCAATTATAAAGCATGTGTCTTTTTGTTTAATTGTTGTTGGTCAATAATTGTTAGTCAACCTATGTTTCACAAGTAGTAGTGAAGTCAACCACACCTCATCACTGAGGTAGAGGTTTCAGTGTTTTTGCACGGAGGATGGTTTTTATTTAGAGCATGTAAAATTACATTAAGGATCAGCTCTGAGCCCCTTCTTGTTTACAGTGGTGATGGACAGGTTGACAGATGAGGTCAGGCTGGCGTCTCCATGGACTGTAATGTTTGTAGACAATGTCAGAGTAGGGAGCAGGTGAACAGGAAGATGAGAGATGAGGAATTTAAGTAGGGGCCCAAAACATTTCTGTAAAGCTGCAACTTTCCAGTTTCTACATAAACCTGGCACATTTCTTCAGATTTAGAACTTTTGCTTAAGTGCCGATTTAAAATATTTGCTTTGCTAAATGAATCCTGTTTTATAATAAGATTATAGGCAGTTAAATTACTATATTTGTTAAGCCAGTGTGATTTCAACAGAAGTTTTGAAACAACACTGAATCTTTGCCAAAGGCTACATTCAGACCGCATATATTTTTGTTTATGTAACTTTGTGGGTTAGAGGTCCACCACAGTCAGAGGAAAAAACCCAGATTTATAAACTGTATAACAGGGAGCATGACACCAACTGGAACAGTTTTAATATTTTAAATAGACTGCCTTAGTAGATAAAACTGATTGTTTCCCTTTTCTGTGAACATTTACTGTGAGGGAAAAAAATCTGATGAACCACATTCAGGTCAGTATGTTATGGACACATGGACATAAGAAGAGTAGAGGAGAGCCTTAAGGCATAGTGGGCTGCAACTAATTGGCTGGGTAATGACTGAACTCAATCCTGTTAAGAGATTTTTATATAAGGTTGACCGGATTCCTACCAAGTCTTGGTTACTCGGATGTCTTTTAAACCTATACTACAACAATATGGTGCAGCCAGTAAAATAATATACCTAACAGTTACTGCATGGTATATGGTGTTTTTTTGTTTGTTTCCTTTTGTTTTTGGTCCATATCAGTCCATGTTACATTATGTCACTTGTAGTTTCCACGGTGGGTTTGCTCATTTTATTTTTGCTTTTGTTGTTTACAAATGTGTAATTTTACTTTAGTTTGTATTTTTGGCGTTAGTTTTCTTCTTTTTGGTTATTATAATTTGTTTAGTTTTAATTAATCATTGTAAGCTCAGTATAACCAAAGCACCATTTAACCAGAAGATGGCAGCAGTACAAGACTCCATCAATTTGGGGGGTAAAACAGTTTGGCTTTATCTTAAACTAGTTGGCCACATAATGGGAATTTTGAGATATGCTTGTTTATTGTGGCATGGTGGTCTCAATTATAGTGTAACTATAGTATTTCAAAGAGTGAAAAAGGGACTGCTATAACCAGTGTTGGGGAGTAACGGAATACATGTTCCGCCGTTACGTATTTAAAATACAAAATATGAGTAACTGTATTCGGTTGCTATGGTTACAGGGTGACGCTCTCTCTCTCTCTCTGTGTTTCCTGGGCGAGAGAGGCCTTTTTGTTGTTGTTGGTGTGCTAAGCTAATAGGCAGAATGCTACAGG